CCCTGATTTCATTTCAACCCACTGGTTCTGCTCTTGTGATCTTTACCCAAAATCTGCTACCTCTCCCAGCTGTGCAGTAAGAGGAAATCCGGCCGTTCTTGGATTCTTGAGAAGGTGGCAGGTTTTCCTCTTGAACTCGACACCGGCTGGGATCGGGTCCGGCACTCCCCAGGGCCGAGCCCCTGAGTTTCCCGTCTCTTCTCCCTTTGCTGTTTCAGCCTTCATTCCCCTGCCTTCGCTTGACCTCACATTCCATTTCTCACGCTTCCTGTCTGCCTTAGACTGAGCCGGTCTGTCGCTGGCCTGGACTGTCTCTGTTTAATTTTTCTGGGGGCAAAATGTTTAATATTACTCTTTCATTCGCCTATTCTAACATTTATTTCACTGACATCCAGCCCATGAATGACAGCTCTCTTGGCAGTCAAAAGTTCCACAAACTACCATCTATCTTTCTCCCCCCCCCCAAAAAAAAATGAAAGCCAGCACAAATTCAACAGCGTCGGATCAACTCAGTAAAATAACATCAGCTGCCCAAAGCCCTCCTGAACAGAACAATTGTATCCCACCTTCCAGAAAGTTCCTAGTCTGGCCTCCTTTCACTAGAGCATTCTGCATAGGTGGAGCCACCACCAAGAAGGCCGTGACCTCCATCGCTAACCGCTTCCTCTCAGAGCAAAGCTTCCTCCAAAGGCTGCAATGCCTCCAAAAGTAAGAATAAAGAAGCGTGCCTCTGAGCACGTACGGAGGGCTCTCTTTTTTCAGTCTCCGGGTCGCCTCCTTCCCTCCCCGACACCTCCGCTTTTCGAAACGGGACACCCAGCGCAAACCTTCAGCTTGTTTTTTTCATTTTTTAAAAATGCGGTTCTTGAAGCAGGAGGCTCTTTGCTTTTCCGAAAGGATCGATCCTGTGAGTGGGCCTCTTAAAATCCATTAAGACGAAATAAACGACTGACATAACATAAAACATTCATCCGTTTACGAGAAGATGCGGCCCGGGTCATCTGTCGGTAGCTCCAGAAGTGTTCCTGGATCGATCCAGTCTGCCAGAGAGAGGGGTGGGGTGGAGGAAAGAGGGAAATCGAAAGAGGTTACATTAAGGACTGTAGTAAGGAAAATGGGAGGGGGGGAGACACTTTCCCCCCCTACTGAGCCTTTCTTGCCCAATAGTGAGAGCCCTGTTGCCTTTGGAGGGGTCTCCCAATTTTCTGTCGCTACCCCCAGGCAGCTGTTTCTGCTGCTACAAAGAAGAAGAAGAGGAGGAGACTGGATTTATACCCCGCCCTTCGCTCGGAGTCTCAGAGCGGCTTACAAACTCCTTTCCCTTCCCCTCCCCACAACAGACACCCTGTGAGGTAGGCGGGGCTCAGAGAGCTCTTTCCAGAACTATCCTTGAGAGAACAGCCTTGACAGAACTATGGCTTGCCCAAGGTCATCCAGCAGCTGCAAGTGGAGGAGTGGGGAATCCAGCCCAGTTCTCCCAGACTAGAGTCCGCACACTTAACCACGACACCAAACTGGTGAAGAAGGAGAAGAAGAGGAGGAGGAGGAGGAGGAGGAGGAGGAGATTGGATTTATACCCAACCCTTCACTTCAGTCTTCAGTCACGAAGAGTCGGACTTGACTGTGCGACTGAACAACAACAACTTCACTTGGAGTCTCAGAGCGGCTTACAAACACCTTTCCCTTCCCCTCCCCACAACAGACACCCTGTGAGGTAGGTGGGGGCTGAGAGAGCTCTTTCCAGAACTGTCCTTGAGAGAACAGCCCTGACAGAACTATGGCTTGCCCACGGTCATCCAGCAGCTGCAAGTGGAGGAGTGGGGAATCAAACCCGGTTCTCCCAGATTAGAGTCCGCGCACTTCACTAGGTTGGGCCAGCCCTGCCGGTACCCAGAGGGAGCAGAAATCGGCGGAACTCACTGGCGGATGCAGTCGGGGATGTGCGCTTGTTCCAAGGGGACGATCCGGGCGAGTTCTTCCAG